TTATTTACTGACCACCAAAATATTCAAATCAACTGCTAATAGTCATCAAGGAAGATACTGACATCAACACAAAAGTAGGAGACATTAACATTCTTATATTGATGCTGATAGATAACTAGACAAAAACTAAACAAGCAAACTCTGGCTTTTAAGGAAGAAAATGAATCGATGGGCCTTACAGACTCATCCCCCCCAAATGGAGTACACATTCTTTTCCATTACAATGGAACATTTCTCAAGATATACCAAATACTGAGTTGCAAAAATATCTCCATAAAATCAAGAAGATAGAAGCCATATCAATTATCTTCTTAAACTACTAAGACTTTCATACCAAAGGTAACTTAAAAATGAAAGCTAATTTTCTCACATCTGTGAACTGAAAATCTAAATTCATGCCTTCAACTAATCTTGTGCCTGGTTGCATTCACTGAGTGTCCTAGCAGAGAGGCAATCTCTCTCGTGTTTCCCTAATCTTCTGTTCTTTTAAAGATAGCAGTCAAATTAAAATAGAGCCAAATCACATTACATCGTTTTAACTTAATCATGTTTTTAATGGCTTTATCTCCAAATACATTCACCTTCTGAGATAATAAGGGTTAGGACTTTAACATATGAATTTCATGAAGACATAACTCCGTTTATTACCTCTGCCCTATAAGCCAACCAAATACATGTTCTTCTGAGTGATATATATCCAATTAAATCCAATAGCCTCAATTTTTTTAATTATCTCTTGAAAACATCTAAGTGAAAGAAGTCAATAACACCTAAATCAGATATGGATAAAATCTGGGTAATATTCTAGGTCTCAGTCATTCTGCAGCAGAATTTTCCTCCAAAGATGAGACTGTGAAATCAAACAAAGTAAGAGCTTGCAAAATGCAATGATGGAAACAGACACTGGATAAGCATTCTCATTTTGACAGAGACAAATCAAAAGCAAGAAATGAAAGATGAATCTGAAGAAACTCAAATGTAGCAAGGAAAATTTACTTTATTTTTCAGGTTCAAAAATATTTTTGTTTGGTCCCATGGTCTATTTCCCAGACCAAATACTGGGTTGCAAAAATATCTCCATAAAATATCTCCAAAGGTTGCCCTCTTCGTTGTTCTCACCATTGTAATGATCCTCTCTGCTCAACTTATGGCAATGGATGAGATATGGCTCAAATGCTACCAATTGAGTCTATGTCTCAGGATTGTATGCTATCAATATTTTTTATCCTTCTGTGTCAATCTCCACTTTAATTATGTATAATCCATATTAACAGATAACTCTAGTGGTCTCAGCTGTAGAATACTGGATGTCTAACTACAGATTTTGGCAATGTTTAATAAAGTCACAATGAACATAGGTGAAAAGTAGCTGGTTTGTGTGTGTGTGTATGTGTGTGTGTGTATGTGTTATTTGACTAGATACTTAGGAGTGGAGTTGCTAGATCATTTATCAGTCTTGCATTTTCTATTTTTGAGAAATCTCCATAGAAACTAAAACCTTTTAAGTTCCTACCAAAAGTGAATTGGGTTTTATTTTACTCTACTTCACTTCCCACATTTATTGTTTATGATGCTTAATAGATATCATTAACAGAATATCAAATAAAAGTTTAGGAAAATTTAATGAATTTTTGTTTCATTTGGGGACCACTCCCAATAGTGCTCACTCCTGGCTCTGTGTTCAAGGCTCACTGTCGGGATCTCAGTAGATAACATACGGTTTTGAAGATCAAACTAGTGTCAGCTGTTTGCAAGGCAAATACCATACCACTTGTGCTATCTCTTTGGCCCCCAGAATATTGAAGAAAACTTGAAAAGAAAATGAATTTGTGAGGGTACCAGGAATCCTGTAAGTGACAAATAATTTGTCACATAACTAAATTACATGATGGTCTATGGTGAGACCAGAATCATTTTATTGTCCCAGATTAAAGACTCTCACAATATTAAATATTAAATTTGAAAGTCATTTTTAAAAGTGTAAAGGAACACTAGATTTCTCTAGATCCTTGCTCAAATTCAAATAGCCAATTAGAAAATGCAGTTAAATATTAAGTTGCTAATACATAAATATTTCTGTGCCATATGTATAAAAGTAAAAATCTCTAAACATATGTATAAAATACCTTAAATTTGTCTTATTTGTTTTACTTCAATGTCAATAGTTATCTAGTCCCTAAAATTTTTCTTCATTATATATTTAAAGATAAATAAGTAACTTTACTGTTCTTTTATGTGGTTAATAACAAAACATAGAATAGAATAAAATGAGAATATAAAATTATATATTTCTTACAGTATAAAGGAAAAACCCAGGGAAATTTTGATCCTGGATTTATCACAGTGTTTACTAAGGGTTAGAGTGGAGAAAGGATATATTTCACTGGCAGAGTCAATTTAACAGAATGGTGTTCTGCAGAGAAACTAATTGAATGAGACCCTCTAGAATTCACTTTGCTTTTTCATAACCCATATAATTTTTATTGCATTCTGCACTGGATGACATAAGAAGAACATAAATTAGCTTGGTGAGAGAGCATTGTGCACCTTTCAACAAGCTATTCAGTGGTATGCAAGTTATATTACCATCATACCATTAAGTACTGAGTTAGGAGGGAGAAATGCCAGGGTGAATAGATACCTTCTCAATACACCTACTCATCTCAAACCTCTTTTGTTTCTGCCTTACTTTCCCTCCCCATGTTGACTGTGAAGCCTTTGAAAGAACTGTTATCAGCTATCATTAAACCAGCCACCTGTCTCCTTGGCAACCCTTATCAAGCTGTACCAGGTTGCTTGGGCTGCTACTGAGGACAGTCAACTGTGCATTGAATAAGGGGTTTTCAAATTGTTCCCATCTGGTATACTAAACTCTTATAAAAGTGTTAGACAAAGAACTGTATATTATATTGTCTACAATCTGTAATAGATGTTTTGTTATTCACTCAAAAAGAAAATTTTAAATGTGGGAAAAGAGAAAAAACATGTTTAAGCTATAAAAAATATACTTGCAATGATTCTTATATTTATTGGTGCTTTTATATAAATATGATTAATATCTATACGTATAAAAATTATTTACTAGTAATATTGATCACATAACAGTTTACAGTTCATCATTTTATTGATTGAAATAAAGTGGGAAGCTTCCTGAATTCAGTACTCCGTCAGCCCAATGATTTAGATTTTGGCTGTTTGTTGTCTCTAATCTATTTCTCTTTTCTTGCCAGAAAATTCCAATTTTGTTAACATTGTCAGGCCTTCACCCCAACATAGAGACAAGATTTAGGACGAACTTCAGGACAATCTAATTTAATCATGGTATTACTATTTTCTTTACCAGTATAGAAAATTGGAGTGGATTAATGGAAAAGATTTGACTTGATGTTGGTTGTTAAGAAAAGAGGAAACATCAACTCAAAGCCTCAGAGGATTTCTTAATAACAAAAAGGAATCAATATTTTCCATTTCAACAAACTTTACAATTTTATTATATCTACTATTATTAAAGAAATAATGTATGCATCTCTGGAACTGAGGTGATAACTGTGTGATCATAAAGCTGCTCTTTTGTGACTGATAGACATGACCATTGTAAAGAGCTATTCTCATTGTGAAATTAATTCCCTTTGAAACAGAGCAATCTTGGCCTTTTCTTAAGGTAAGACGCTCCCTATTGTCCACTTCACTTGGGTATTTTTCTTTAATATAAATTTTATTTTCAGTATCCTAAATACATCCCCAAATTCCTAACACCTTCTTATATCTCTTCTTTAATTTTTCATAGTTCTTCACTTTAAAATCTTTCTTTGAATCTAAAACCATCCCACTCATTTTTACCTGTCTAGGTCTGAATTAGTTAAGATGCAAATATATATTAAGGAAGCTGATTCAAGCACTATTTTAGCATCAAATGGTATGTCATACTGGCTTAAATTCAACCAGTTCTTAGGACAATTTTATCAGAGAGAGATTTATGTAAATGGAAAGGAAACTAACTGAATCAGCTAGCCTAAGCTATAAATGAGAAAAGTGTGGGTTATTGGGATTTAGGAAGGCAGAAAAGCAATGGAGCAGGCTGGCAAACTAGGTATAAAGAAGTAACTTTTAGGACTGACAAGATAATTCAGTGGATAGTGCACTTGCCTTTTCCCCCTGACCCAGATTCAATCTTTAGCATGGTCCCGAGAAAACCACAGCATGTAATTTGTGAGCACAGAGTCAGGAGTAACAGCTGAACATGGCCAGGTGCAGTTGTGTTCCCAAAATCATACAAAAAAGGTAACTTTTACTTTCAGAAAGACAGAGTAACAGAGTAACAGAGCACCAAATAAAGGGTGTTGGGAGGATCCTCTCAGGATGGGAGAAGCATGCTGAAAGTAGACTATAGACCAAGCATGATTGCCACTCAATGCCTCTTTTGCAAACCTCAGAACCCAAAAGGAGAGAGAGAACAAAAGGAAATGCCCTGCCACAGAGGTGGGGTGGGATGGGGGGATGGGGGAATGGGGGGTGGAAGGGATACTGGGATCATTGGTGGTGGAAAAAGGGCATTGGTGGAGGGATGGGTACTAGATCATTGTATAACTGAAACCCAAAGATGAATGTTTGTAAATCTAAAAATATAGCTCATGGTGTTTCACTAATAAAAATTGAAAAAAAAATAGTAACAGAAAGCTAAATTCTCACCTCTCTTCCTGGGAAGATGCAGATGTACTGTTTAAATTAATAAAACAACAACAACAAAACAAACAAACACTGTCCTCCCGTTATTCATCATTTTGCTCGAGCAGGCCCAGTAATGTCTCCATTTTGAGACTTGTTGTTACTGTGTTTGGCATATCGAATACGTCATGGGTAGCTTGCCAGGTTTTGCAATGCGGGCGAAGTACTCTCCATAGCTTTCCAGGCTCTCTGAGAAGGGCGGAGGAATCGAACCCAACTCGGCTGGGCTGGTTGCACATAAGCAAACGCCCTACCAGGAAATAAATATGTAGGTTTAGAGTATACTTTTAGGGATCATTTCTATAGTTCTTTACTAGAGAAGTTTCTCTGATCTTGTAGAGCACCTGAAACCACGAGAATTTTCTCTGATCATGTAGGGCTTCCTGAGGGTGAAGTTGGTTCTAGGTGTTGTTTTTGCAACTGTCCTTTATCACTGATGATCCTTCTCCTCTTCCCTTGGAAAAGGGAGAGGAAGAGGATGCAGTCTGAGTGGTTCCAATAAAAAAAAGTGTATATATGTTTATATAAAAATAAAATATAATAAACATATGTATAATAAAATAATGCATTCTAACAAATACATTTATATGCTAACATATATATATGTTTATTATACCCAGTGCAAACATTTTACTCTGCTATTAGGGGGATTATAGGTACTGGAGCGATAGCACAGCAGTAGGGCGTTTGCCTTGCACGCAGCCAATGTGGCCGACCCGAGTTTGATTCCTCCGCCCCTCTCAGAGAGCCCGGCAAGCTACCGAGAGTATCTCGCCCGCACGGCAGAGCCTGGCAAGCTTCCCGTGACGTATTCGATATGCCAAACACAGTAACAACAAAGTCTCCAATGGAGACGTTACTGGGCCCGCTCGAGCAAATAGGCCTAATCAAAGGTAATTCCCATCTTCAATATGTGTGCTTCAAAATAAAGCCTGGAAGTGATACTAGGACTAGGACCCAACCTCATCAGAAATTCCTGGAATTATGTTTGGGAGAGTACCCCAATCAACTCTATTTACTTCACTTTTACTTGTCTTTGTCTCTGTGTCTGCTGAGGTCCCTATCTATCAATAGCAAAGTCAGTCTACCCTAACTAGTTTGTATTTAATTCTTTTTGTTCTTGTTTTGTTTGGGGACCACACCTGGTGATACTCAGGGATTAGTCATGACTCTGGACTCAAGAATTAGTGGTGGTGGTACTCAGAGGATCATATTGGTTGCCAGTGATCAAACATGCCACTTAGCTCTGTGCAAGGCAAAAGCCCCACCTGCCGTACTATGGTACTATCTCTCAGCCCTATCTATTTAATTCTTTAAACTGAATATACCCCAAGAATTATCATGTCATGAGGAAATAGAGAATAGAGAATCATAGAAGATTAAAAAACTTATTAACAAACCAAACAAAGAAATGATAATTTGTTTAAGAGGACGAACTTGCAACTTGTGGATAAATTCTAACATGTCAAAGTGATTATAGACAACACGACATTATAAACATTAAATTTCTTTAGAAACTGGATCTTAGTTATTCTCATCATAGAAAAGAAGTAATTATTATGTGAGGTGATAAAAATCCTAGCTAATGTTATAGTGGTCATTATAGTATAATATACGAATGGATCAAATCAAAGTGTTGTTCACCTTCAACTTACAAACTGTTACATGTCAGTTATAGTTCATTTTTTAAAAAACACTAATGAAGAACATAGATATTTTGAGCCACAGAGCATTGAAAATTCTCTAATTAAACTATTCAGAAGACCTTAAGATGTTATTTTTTAAAAAGATATAAGATAAGATAATAGCCTAAAATTTAAAAGACCTTTCAAAGATTAAAATATAATTGCATAACAAAACTACTTAAATAGAAGTCTTGAAAAACAAGTTGCAAAAAGTTTCAAAATCTGGAGGACAAAAACATTTCTAAAGTTTCGGAAATATAATTAGAATGGCTGGAAAAAAAGACTTAGGAGGTCAAACCAGAAAATCTGACAATTAGCAGTTTAGAAAAAGAGAACATAGAAAATGTAGAAAGAAAATTGTCAAGAAAAAAATAACTATTTCCAAGAATTCATAAAGGATAACAATTTTCATATTCAAAGAAGCAAGAAATTTACAAAATTTATGCTAGAAAGCAGCTGCTGATAGATAATGAATTAAAATGTATGATTTTTCAGGCAGGTATTCAAGAAAAATAACATTCTAGGTGATATTTTAAATAATTTACATGATAATATTAAAGTTATGGTTATTATTTAATTGATGGGTAAATATCTTAATGAAAATGTTTAAAAACTGTAAGAAACATAAATGATAAACTATTAACTTATAGTACCTATCAATATCATATTTGAAATTAATAAGGTACAGCTATTGTACAAGTTTAGGAAAATTGCCAACGTTTGAGTTAAAATAGACTTTATCAAATATTCATAAAAGAATTAAGAGGCAGAGCTAATCTCAAACTTTCATTTTACAAAGGTAAGAGTTGATATATTTATCAGCCCATAGTAGACAAACATATGATTCCCAGTTAAACGTGGTAACATAACCACATATAATTATTTTATTTCTCTCAGAGACATTATTAAATAGTAACAAATGAATCAAGCATGAATCCAAAATGGGAGAGGGATTATCAAAAGCAAATAAGATTAATTGGAGTTTAGATATGAACACTAAACCCACCATCCCTATTTCATCAGATAAAACATTATTATGTTAAGGATCTATCCCCCCTCCCCCCGGCTCTTGCCAGGAATTTAGAGAAATTCTTCTCAAGAAAGCTTTAATGCATTCACAATAAAATTTTGACAGTTCCAGGTCATCCTGAAAGGTTTTGGACCACTCCCATTTACCATCAAGAGCTCAAATACAGATGTACTAATCAGTTCCTTTATGATATCTGATGCATTTATTTTTTTATAGCTTATTTACTTATAGCTAGTTTATCACAGCCTGATTTTATTTAATCATTCTTAAATTTTAAAAAATATGAAGGTTTGACAGAGCATGTCTTTGCTGAATAAACTGATTTTGTTTTTCTTGGCTTTGTATTTTATAATAATGATAGACTCTACATATTTTTCTTAATTGTTTTTAATCATTCAACCTTCTATTTATAAGATTTTTCAGGAAAAGATCAGACAGCAAGCATTTTAACCTTTGTGGACAATATGGTTCTTTTAGTAACTACTCAACTTTGCTCTCTTTGCAGAAATACAGCCATGGCTTACAAAAATGTTCTTCGATATCTTTGTTCTTTGTAATACAGGCAGTAGGCAGGATTTAGCTAACTGGCAGGATTTAGCTAACACATAAGGGTAGATTATTAAAGATTGTGTTATTAGACACTGAAAAAGAATTCAGTAAGTATTTTTGAGTAAACTAAAATTATAGGTACATACAGATGTAAATGACATATTTCTGTGCATTTTTTTGTAAATTACTCAAAGTAAAATTATGGGAGAATAAAGGAATATACAGTGTAAAGTATATATCTAAGTATTTAACTGTCTTTAAAAAATGTATTAGTTTATACAAAAGCATATAATACTGCCCATTTTCTCATGCTATTTTCAAATTATTATTAATTTCTGTCACCTCTCACTCCCAAAGTAAAATAAAACCTTGTGATTTTAATTTAAATATTTTTTAAATTTTATTATTTTTACAAATTTTTATTAGTGAAACACTATGAGGTACAGTTGAAGACTTACAAATTTTTGTGCTTGGGTTTCAGTTATACAGTGATCAAGTACCCATCCCTTCACCAGTGCCCATTTTCCACCACCACGGGTCCCAGTATCCCTCCCCCCCCAATCCCACCCTGCCTCTGTGGCAGGGCATTCCCTTTTGTTCTCTCTCTCCTTTTGGGTGTTGTGGTTTGCAAAAGAGGCATTGAGTGGCAATCATGTTTGGTCTATAGTCTACTTTCAGTATGCTTCCCTCATCCTGTGAGGATCCTCCCAACACCCTTTATTTGGTGCTCCCTATATTTTTATTATAATACATTTCTATGGGCTGGAGTGATACCACAGAGGTAGGGTGTTTGTCTTGCACACAGCCGGCCAGGTGAGCTGGGTTTGATACCTCCACCTCTCTAGGAGAGCCCGGCAAGCTACCAAGAGTATCCTGCCCGCACGGTAAAGCCTGGCAAGCTACCGGTGACATATTCAATATGCCAAAACACAGTAACAAAAGTCTCACGATGGAGTCATTATTGGGCCCGCTCAAGCAAATCGATGAACAATGGGAGGATAATGACAGTGACATTTCTATCCTCTCAAATACTTTCCTGACTTTTAACATAGTTAGCACAGTGGTAGGGTGTTTGCCTTGCATGCAGCCAACGTGGCTGACCTGAGTTCGATTCCTCCGCCCCTCTCGGAGAGCCCGGCAAGCTATTGAGAGTATCTCGCCCGCATGGCAGAGCCTGGCAAGCTTCCCGTGACGTATTCGATATGCCAAACACAGTAATAACAAAGTCTCCAATGGAGACATTACTGGGCCCGCTTGAGCAAATCGATGATCAACGGGAGGGCCTTTACTTACTTTTACTTATTTCTGAACTATCTCTACATATTCTTTTGTAACTTCCTATTGTAAGTGCTTTGGTGAGGAAGTCAACCCTCCAGAAAAGAGTGCTTCTGATGTAATACAGGGTGTTTAGTATGTGTCCAGCTCAGAAGACAACAGACTTCCAGGCCTGAATGTGGGTTGACATACCCTTAGCAGAATAGCGTTACTTATGTGAGATTGCTCATTAATTTGCATTCAGTTGTGGGGTATTTATTTATTCGTGCTTTTTGTGTCACACCTGGAGATGCACAGGGGTTACTCCTGGCTCTGCCCTCAGGAATTACTCCTGGCAGTGCTCAGGGAACCATATGGGATGCTGGGAATTGAAACCCGGGCTGGCCACATGCAAAGCAAAAGCCCTACCCGCTGTGCTATCACTCCAACCCCATGTTTTTTTTTTTTTTTTAAACTGTCTCTGACTGGCTGTTACCAACCTTGTCTTTAGACCAATTGGCTACAGACTTACATTTTGTGGGCTGAACAGATCTTAAACCGATTCTGTAAAGTGGCTACTATTGTAGAGAACAACCTAGCTTTTCCTTGAATTGTAGGAACTCTGAATTTTTACATCAAATAAATATGGCACCCCCATTCCATTTTTATACTTTACATGAAGTTTTTTTTATTTTCTGTAACTAAAAAAGTTTTAAGCTTAATAGAGAAAAGTTTATTACTTTTTTACTTATTGACCTTTCTGTAATGTTTTCATTTTCCTCAGCTTCTTCCAACTCCATAACCATCGGAAAAAATTCATTTTCTTTATAAGTATTTTCAGTGCCTTAAATTTTGAATTATGAGAGCATCAAAGTAATTATTCCAGTTAGAATTTTATTTTAGAAGAATTATGAGAGAGTGGTTTAATTTCTTATTTCAAAATAAATCACAAATTTTCTGATTCTATTTTATTGAA